CCTGTGGTCTGAAGTACCGTGGTAGCATGTAAATGTGGACCGATATTGAGGAGATACACCAACCCTGTGGTCTGAAGTACCGTGGTAGCATGTAAATGTGGACCGATATTGAGGAGATACACCAACCCTGTGGTCTGAAGTACCGTGGTAGCATGTAAATGTGGACCGATATTGAGGAGATACACCAACCCTGTGGTCTGAAGTACCGTGATAACATGTAAATGTGGACCGATATTGAGGAGATACACTGGTGTATCAACGAAGGATTTTAGAATCCACTCTTGCAGCAACTGGAAGGGAGTAGAGCGCCTTTAACACAGGTGTTACATGTAAGCATGTGGGAGCTCTTGTCAAATTCTGGTTGCTTTGTTTTGGATTGTTTGTAGCCTGTTTAGCAGACATGCTGCAGCTTAGCTGAAGGTTTGTTGTGATAGTCCATGCGCCACAACACACACAATCCCACATCACATGAACACACCACACATAAGGACACCACACACACACCCAACATACATACAGACTCACAGGCCACACACATCTTACATACAAAAACATGTCACACACCCACACAACAAATACAGACACACAAAATGCCAAAGAAACCACACACACCGCACATATGCACACATGCCACATACTACACACACACACAGAAATACATACTTACACTTACACATACTTCACACACACCACGCACTCCACACGAACACACACGCCATTAAAACACACACACACACGCCACTAACACACACCACATATTTTTACACATACCTCACACCGGACGCCACAGTATCGTTTGTCATAATATGTTTCACTACACGATTATCTGTCGTCACAACTCCGACACACCTGTGAGTTTGTTATGCTACAACGGAAACTGGCAGCATCTCTGACCGAGGACATTCTGAACCAGGTCAAACTGATCAGAAAAATGATAACCCAGAAATCTCTAAAAACATATCAGCATCTTCCGTGTTCTCAACCGTGAGATGGCTGAATACTCTCCGAATAGCTTAAAACAATATTTACTCATTTACTCATATACAAAATAAAACCGTATCGCACACAGCGAATCTCCAGCATCCATATTCTGCCATGCCATGTTCAACCGACCTATACAGTTCCGTACAATGTACTAAGAATATTGGGATAGCGTCACATGAGGAGTGTAGGTTGATGATAAGCATGAGTTGTCAGATATACCCTACAGTTAACAAGCACATCCACTTTTCTTGTAATCTACTACTTAATGTTGTGATTCATGCTTTTCCTCACAGATCAATGATTTTACTGCTCGAAAAGACGCAGCAGTGATCAGACATGGCATTGAAACGTGATTACAATGTTACGAAGCCGATTTTAAAAATTATATATCTTGTAAGAATATCAAAGGTGTTACACGTTTCTGCATATATACTCTTGCCAATAATGGTTGTCACCCCCTTCAATGTTTTTAATTGAGAGGGGTGTGGGGTGGAATTGGGGAGGGGTGACAACCATTATTGGCATGAGTATATAATCCGGCCATTCTTCATGTCGCTGGAACAGGAGAGGGACTTTCATTAAGAACTGGCAATTTCATCATCTGACCTGTAAATGGCTTGACCAGAGTGAGTCAATATGGTTTTACGCCGCTTTTAGCAATATGTCAGCAACATCACGGCGGGGAACACCAGACATGGGCTTCACACATTGTACCCATGTGGGGAATCGAACCCGGGCCTTCGGCGTGACGAGCGTACGCTTTAACCACTAGGCTACCCCACCAATCCCGGCCTGACCAGAAAAATGCATAAATACAATTAATAAATGGATACGTTTATAAAAACAACTATTTGATGAATGTTGAGACCAAAATGAATTTGTTATTTCTATTTGTAAGTCCACATGGAAAACATAAAAAAAAAACATATTATTTCTGTTCGATTAAGGTAACCCTGAAAAGAATGTTCGATCCGGTACGTTTGTGGGCTGTTAACACTGATATTGGAAGTCATGGATAGGAAGAAGCAGTTTGAAATATATTCATACTCTACAGCATATTTCCTGTTTGATGTATGTGATTGTTTGTAGCCAACAACAGTTACCAAAATGACTAAAACATTAATTCATAAAATCATATATATCGAGATGCAGTGAAATCATTGTATGACGCTAAATTTGCAGAAAAAAAACATACATACAATAAATAAATGGATAAGTTGATAAAAAAAAACTATTTGATGGATGTTGATACCAAAGTGAATTTGTTAATTGTTTGATCGGCATTCTAGAAGTAGGTAAGTGAAACTGAAACATACAACTTTATGGATGACAACTAATAATGATAATGATGTATCTTTTGAATCTACATCGAAACGTCGCTTTATGCAATAAACAAGAAGTTGTACAATATATTTTTAAGGATTAAACTTCTTTTTAATTTCTCTCACAACGTTTCGAGACCATTCCAGGTCCCTTCATCAGTTCACCTGATGAAGGGACCCTCAAATCGAAACGTTGTGAGAGAAATTAAAAAAGAAGTTTAATCCATAAAAATATATTGGACATCAATGTACAACTTCTAAATGCCACTGAAAGACAAGAAGTTGTATGTTTCATTTATATTCTAGTTGCATTACGTCAGTCTGTAAATCATCGAATCTGAATCAGATAATCAAATGATCGATTCACGATATTCAGATACGATGACATGACATATACCACCTTATCGAGCCTGGTAACTTGACCTTTTATAATATCTTATTGACTACGCTATGTGGTATTACATTTTTAAATAAACATTGCTTGATGGATGTTCTAAATGATTGTTATATATGACAGCTGGAATAACCTATTCGAGATTGAGGCAAAAGAGAACTTGCTGACTCGAAGTTTCTGAGACCTGTGCAATGGTCAACATGTGATCATAGGATTCTGACGCGACCATGAACATTCATTTGTATATCGATACACATGACATGTCGAGATATCGAGATAGTGGAATCCCGAGTTTACAGGCTTTTACTGTGCTGTGTTGGTTTTTTTTATTACTTTTGTAAGACTAAACAGCTTCATCCTGAATGAAGCCCAAACAATCTAAAACCGAACGAGCCAACGCAACGTACATGTCAGCTTGTAGTTAACAAAGTGGTTCGCTGAGATCACCTTGTTTAAAATACATTGCTATTTCTTGTCAAACCCTGATGATCCTGAATATTACTTACTAAAATATATTCTTAAATTCACATGCAAGTTTCGTTTCCGATTTCATTGGTTTGCAAATTTTATGAAACCGTTATATTCGAATGCCGTGTATGGTATATTACATCGTGTATTAAAGTCACATTTTATTAATTCCTTGACAAATCTATTATTTCGTATTTTGTTTTTGTTCTATTTAGTGAACGGTATTTTTCGTTTCATTTCATTGCCTGTAAATTCCCATTTTGAACACAAACGGCAAGAGGCTGCTGAGGGTAAGAACCGATACAAACATGCCCCTCAAATCCATTGCCACGTGGCAAGTCTAGTAATGTTCACACGAGAACCATTGGCATAAACATCCTAAGGGTAAGTGACATAGAAAAGCGCCGGCTGATGTCATGGCATGGTTGCTATGGCGACGCATTCACGTCAATGTCAGGGTGCCACTACTTTGAAGCTGGGGTGACAGACAAGGTGTGAATAATACCGTTGTTGGTGCCCAAGGTTATACACGCGGGGCATACAAATGCCCATCCCCCTTGTCTCGAAGTTATCTTATAACGTCTTTCCGAAATAACCGATATCATCATCATCATCATTATCATTATCATCATCATGTGAATAATACAGTTGCCCAAGGTTATTGACACGCGGGTTATACAAATGCCCATCCCGCTTATCTCGAAGTTATTATTTAAGGTCTTTCCGAAATAACCGATATCATCATCATCACCACCATCATCATCATCATCATCATCAACGGAAATCATGGAATTTAACACCGAAACGTACGGTACAAGTAAACTATTTCGGAATTATCGGGCTGTTTAATGTTACTGCTTCTGATATAACGAACTATGGGCATGACGAACTTTCCTAATGAGTGCAATAGGTACTTCATTAGCTTCTCTTTAAAATTATTACCTCAACACGTACATGTAATCGAAAATTGGGTCCATGGGGCGCTTTGGCCATTATTCAAGTGTGCCTCAATTCATGCGAAGTTGTGTTCGTGATCTGTTGGAACCGCTAGTAGATTGTCCCTCGTGCAATTATGGGTCGACTAGGTAGTCAAGCGGTTAAGGCGCTCTTTTGTCACAACGAAGGTCCATGTTTGATTCCTCACATGGCTAACTTGGAGACCATTTCCGGTTTGCCCTGCCTTGACAACCACAGGAATATTGCTGAAAGTGGTGTAAACCCACTCATTCACTCACTCATCATGCCTGTGGGTTTTACGTTTTACGTCTTAGGCCTGTGCCACTTGGGTGTTTATCCATATAAGCTGCCCCGCCGTGAAGTATCTGGAATACTGTCTGTGCTAGCTATAGTGCGTTTCTAGGCAAGCGGTGAATGTGGGATTTACAAGAGAGGCGAACATCTTAAGTCTTTGCCACTTGGGTATTTACCCATTTAAGCTGTCCTGCAGCAACTGGAATAATGTCGGCGCTAGTGCGTTTCCACGCAGGCGGTGAGTGTCAAACACAAACACACACACATGCCACACATACATATTTGCAACACACACACAGCACATCAAGACGCAAGCACACATGTCACACACCACAGATACACACGTCACACATACTCGCACATGCCACACACACCACATAAACACACGTACTTACGCCACACACACAAACACACGCACCAAACGCACACAAACACGCACGTACACATTGCGTACATCACTACGGATGTTCTTCAGTAAAGCTGACATGTCCGTATGTAATGGAAACCGTGCTCCGAGTTATACTCAACTCACAAACTAACGCGCACACATCAGTGTTCACAAAACAGACCAGAAACAAACGAAGTATTTAGGCATTTTATTTAGCTCCAGATCTCTGTACAAAAATCATTTTCGAGGAGAGATTTTTCGCGTTTAAGCTTTGCTTAAACAGTCAGCATATAAAGGTGATAAGAAACTGACAAATTAAACAAGTCACGACCAAACACTACATTAATTTCTTGTGCAAATATACAAAGTACATTAAATTTCGATTCTTTGTCATGGAAAACAGTGTAAAATGTCAAGATTTAACAATCCATTACCGGGCAATACAAATATGGAAATTAAGGTAATTCACGTAGACAATTACACAGATCTGTGCGCATCAAATCGGCGCACCGACTGCATCACGTGACTAAACTGTAAAAACAACTGTGTCAAACACAAAGACTATATACCGACTAACGACTAGAATTTGTACATTTGTACGTATTGAGATCTCAACATGCACATTCAGTGCTTTATGTACATACTCCTTACGAAAGGTAAATAAATAAACTCTTCCCCGGGTGTTGGAATGAATGATCAAGATACCTTGACAACATCCGCCATTACCGGAAGTCGTGGTATCCTAGCAACACCCTTCAATGTATACTACATACCACAATATCCGGTCTTGACGTTAGTAATGTAAGTAGCCCTTTTATACTTAAATAAATAATTTTTCTTAAAATATAACAACATTATGACTGCGTCTTCATCCATTCTCATTAAAGAGTAGGGATCATCTCAAAGCTCAAAGAATAAATAATCTCTAATAAGTAGAAATCTGTCTAGGGGTTCCATTTGCACTGTAAGGCAATGCCCCGCCTACGGGAAGCAATCAACCTTTGAGATGATCCCAATGTTATGTTCACATTCATGTATAAACGTATAAAACCAACCCTAAATACTATACTATCAATCGACTAGATCTTAAAACAGTTAGGAATTACAAACCTAAAGTATTTTGTATTCAAAGATGTAAAAATAGAAATCTGATCGTGGGATATAAATATAATAGAAATCGACAGGATCATGCAAAGAGTTGCATTATTAAATCTTTCTTTGACAATAGGTAAAATATATATGTATATATGTATATGTATATGCCTCCAAACGTATGACAGTGGGGAAAACGTCATTTTACATGGGTACAATCCATATTGCAGATCTTCTATTACTCAGTACAGAGTAACCCTTTTGTCTGTTTGGAGACGATATATTCTAAGTACCTCTTTCACACTTATATTTAGCTCTTTTACACTCAAATACAATATGTACAACGCCCCACAAACACGTATGACGAAACCGCCCAACGAACACGTTTCTCTAGGATTTCAGTCGTACGATTCTTTAACAAGAACCGCTCCATGAATTATGCAGTGAAATGTACCACATTTTGCCCAAGCGTTATAAGACCCCAAAGTTTCTTATTTCATTCGAGCGAAAAGTTTAGCTGGTCAATTATACATGAGGACTCTACTTGAAGGAAGACACCGTGGCTTAAACGCTTAATGTGGCCGATGCCGGGAAAAAATGGCGGCGTTAATTATTAATAGAGTCATGTCCCTTTGCTCGAGTCGCTTGGCGATAATATGCAACAAAAATAGATTATTATGAGTCAGTTAAGTACGTTTTCTATCACAATATTTCATAACGGAATAAACGCTAATAATGCAGCGTGGAAAAACGAGGCATTAAGTAATATATTCTTTGGTTCGTGGTACAAGTTTTGGCAGAAACCTTTAAGATTTGTTGACAGAACATTTACTCCAAATTATTTCGTTTCGCGATTTGGCTTTTTAGTTCAAAGCGTAAGATAGAAAGATTTCGTAAGTCACTGGGGTAGAATTTTGTGTCGTTATTTTAGAACAGAATTGTTTAAGAATGATATAATTATAGATTTTGGTTAACTAATATTGATAGTAAAGTTTATGAATTTCTCGACTTTCCTTTAATCCCATTATGCTTTGCTGCCTCGTTTTGACTAGATCGCACTCACATCCTGGCGTAGTAATACATAAGTATGTTGGTCCGCGACAATTCACAGCCATCACTAAAGCGGCACTATATTTCATCAACAATGTCACAAGCATTATAAAACTACACCTTGGGAGATTGAAAACATTTAACATTATTAAAAGAATCATACGGAAACAAATACGTCTATCATTAAAATGTTTTAAAAAAATACTAGACCCAGAAGATACTGAAATCACGTGACCTGCGCACTACTTGTCGCATGTGCTCCCTATGAACTGAAACATTTGGCGCGGATGAATACATTTAGCCTCTAACCCCTTCAAGACCACCAATGTGTTTTTTCGAATGAATTTTTTCTCATAAATCTATACTTTACACTTGATTAATAATATTTATAAAACAATCGCAATTGAAACTGGATATAACTAAATACTTTTTTCCATTACACAAAACACATATGATATGAAAATAATGATGACATTTTCAAAAATATTTCTCTTTTTTAAATTTGGTCTTTTGACTCCATGTACCAGACGATAGAGGTAGCATTCATAATGAAAACTATTGCACAATTTAGTAAAATATACCGCAACAAATTCAAACTCTAATTCAAACTAAAAGAAAATGTCTTTGCACCAATTAGACAGCAAACCGCCTTGAAATATCAGGCAGGAAAGGAAACGTAAGCCGGGTCAAGTCAGCAAATCTGTGGGGGGGTGGCATCTTTGGGGCATTTCCGGTCACGTGACTTAAAACGGAAGTTGATTTGATAGATACATGTTTTCAATAATAGGGGGCGCTCGTATCACGTCCTCCAGCTTGAAGTAGAACATGCGTTGTAGGCCCTCTCGACTAAGCGAACGGAGTTCGGCAATCTTGCCGAGAATCCTCGAGAAAAAGTGAGATTTCTTTTGTGCTTCACTGTTATATGTGCAATGATCGCGGAGACAGTCAATGATTTTCATTTGAAGGTCCTCCATCTTTTTGGGTTCCTTCAGGCCATGTCGCACTGAAATAAAGAAGAGGGTATTGTCATTGCGGTTGAAAAATGTCATCACTATACTCCGGATGCATCGAACTGTGTTACGTATGACGTTTATCCTTCGTATAATATTAACGTCAAGTTGTTTATAGACGTTAAGCGCTATATTATCAGATTTTGTTTTATCCGTAGTCGTTAATGTTGTCTACATTACGTTTTACTTCCTTGATCATATTCTGTCTGTGTTGGAAAATGGGAGTTACTGTAGTTTTAGCACTAAAACTACTATATGTAAGTGGGCCATATTGTTTTCCATTGTTTTCTGCTAAATGGTCTTTGGCGCAGCGCAAATGCAACCAAAAGCTATAAGTCCAAAAGCTTTAAATCTGGCTGTTCATATTAACAACAGTCTTACTATCAACGTGTATTAAGTTGCCTGGTAATGACTCGTTTCAAGTACTTTTATGTTACATCAAATCAGTGAAACTTTATCTGTTCTTTGAACCATAGAATGCGCGTTGAATTATGGACTTTTCGCTACAATCACTGCGCCAATATTAAACCATAGTGACTATCGGGGTTATTCCGGAACCGATAAATTGCTTAAGTGATGAAGCCATGAAGATGAAAGAGTTCCAGCTGATAAGGTTACATTGTACGGGGTGAAACGTAACATGGCGGATGTATACTTACAGGTTACCATTGAGAGTGCGGCCATGCAGGCGAGTGAAGAGATGTCTAGCGTCATGCGAGTGAGGCTGAGGCCAAAGTCGACAATCGAATTGATCCAGTCACCGAACATTCTGAGGCACTGTAGACGATGAAGCACGAGCCCGTTGTCGAACACGATCTTGTCTTCTCCGGGTTGCATTCTGGGAGAAAAGCAGCTCGTTATAAGATCAATAAGCACAGGTATTTCTTTTAGTTGTGTATTCAGCCAGATATTAAACGAGGTTGATATGTATGTAAAGACCAATTTGTAAAATGGTTTTTCATATGAAGATTATGTTACAAATTATACGTTTAGTTTGCTTTGAAGAAAAATGCTAATTTCAGGCAGAAATTCTGTAAGAATTCTTACTTTATGATTCTCATCATCTTACGAAGACGAAACACAGCAAAGTGTAATTAGCCTTTCTGGGAAATGTTGCAAGGGTATGATAAACGCATATATACAATTTATGAGCAATAAAGAAGAAGTATTTAGTTAATAGTGGTTAAAATGAAACAAACATTAAAAATGATTATTCAATGGTGATGTATTGGATACGAGTACCATTCGTTTATTACTGCAGATGAAGTTAGTATTAATCAGATCAAGTTGTATCTTCCGTAATTTGTTGAATCGTGTGAGGATATGGGCACTATGGCAGTGTTGAATTCTGTACGTCTCCAAAATGTCATTTCTGTGGACGGCTACAAAACGTCATTTTTTGTATGGCTACAAAATGTCATTTCTGTGGACGGCTACAAAACGTCATTTTTCTGTATGGCTACAAAACGTCATTTCTGTGGACGGTTACAAAACGTCCTTTTTATGTATGGCTACAAAATGTCATTTCTGTGGACGGCTACAAAACGTCATTTTAAGTATGGCTACAACATGTCATTTCTGTGGACGGCTACAAAACGTCCTTTTTATGTATGGCTACAAAATGTCATTTCTGTGGACGGCTACAAAACGTCATTTTATGTATGGCTACAAAATGTCATTTCTGTGGACGGCTACAAAACGTCATTTTTATGTATGGCTACCAAATGTCATTTCTGTGGACGGCTACAAAACGTCCTTTTTCTGTATGGCTACAAAATGTCATTTCTGTGGACGGCTACAAAACGTCATTTTTCTTTATGGGTACAAAACGCCATTTCTGTGGATGGCTATTTTTCTTTATGTCTCCAAAATGTCATGTCTGTGGATGGCTTCATACGGTCATTTTTCTGAATGGCTACAACACGTTAGGCCCATTCTTCGATTCCCAAAAACATATATCTGTTGGTAGAATGGTGTCCCCTGTGTTGTGTAATATCGTAAAGATCTTATAAAATTTCACTCACACATCCACTCAGCACCACCTAGTTGCTTACCTGTATGCGGTCCTGAGGACAAAGAGCTCTAGTGTTGCAGACTGGAAGAGAAGCTCCTGGTCCTCCTTGCAGAGTTCCGAAAATCCAGGGATCTTGTCCGCCCATCCGCGGAGTACGTCAACAGACTGGATGAGGATGTCGTAAAACATACGGATCCTGTCGTCCTGGGGGGTCGGGCTTTCGTCGTCTGTGGGGACTTTGTACTGTAAGGGGAGACATGACGTCAACTGGGGCCTGGGGCAAGGTGCACGTTTAGGAACTACCATAATGTTTAACTGCAATCCTAGAATATTCGTCCAAGTCAAATCGCCATTTCGGATTCGTTCAACAATATCACTATCATATGAAGGTAATGACAGTGATAAAAGGGTCGGGTTTAGTAACGATGGAAATAACAACTCAATTTCCTCCATGTGGTCATGACTACGACTATTTGCGTACATTTGAAATAATAGAGAGCTACATCAGGGGGTAACAATTAGCCAATATTACACCCATGAATATTAGAATGTATAGCAGAAGAACTCAAAAGAGGTGTTTATTATTCTTGGTTCGTTGTTCACTGGGACGTCTGCATTAATTTTGATACCGCGTTCGTCATAACCGAGGAGTCTAAAGTCCATTTTCGACAAGTGGTGAAGTTCTACCGCGAGATTGTGAAGCTTTGTCCAAAAAGATATTTTTAGCCACGGACAAACCACTAGAATAATTAGATTTACAATGTTGGATAATTTATCTTTAAAACATAATTTACTGTTAAAACGTTTAAAAAACCTACCTTGTTGTAATCAAGATTTGGAATGTCGGGGCATGTATCAACATGCGCGCGCACCAAGGCAGTTATTAGGCTGACGGGTGGGGAGGGAGGGGGGGCTTTCTTGGGGGGACTTTGGTTTGGAGGGTAGTCGTCCACGTCGCCCCTTCAAACTGTCAGTCCTCACAACTGAAACAAAAGGATTTGATTTGAAAATAAATAAATAAGTATAAATATTCTACAGTTCTACACACACACATGCAGTTAACTTCATCGTGAATTATTACAAACATTAAATCGTCATTAACGAGCTGTTTCGTGGTTTATCACCCTAACGGAAATGTCAAAGGTCCATATACCATACGTTAGAACTCGTTAATAATCTCGTGGTTTCTTGTAGCGTGAATAGTACTGACAGTCGAGGACAATGATTGGTTACTATCGGTAGATGTATACTACACCTCGAAGCATGAATTCAAAATCAATAAATAGATGAAACGGACGAAAGGTTTTTACTATTTCAAAGAGTATCGACAAGTAGGGAAAAATAGTAGTTTATGTTGTATGATTTCACTATTAGTTTGAGAGTACTTGGTAATTTCAGGACAATGGGTTGTGTTCGTGATAAATCTTTCCATTCGATGTAAACACGGCCATAATCTGGGGAAGATAAGGAAGGGCTGAGGGGAAAGTGGTCGAATATATGTTCTTCATAACGCATATAGAGAGCCATATGTATTCTCACTGGCCAAACTAACTGGCACTGATTCATTCAAGCCGGGCAATGCCGAGTAGCCCAAGATGGCCGCCACATGCGCAAGGTATCGTCTGCCCCAGGGCACGTGCCCGCGTGCGTAACAGACGAACATGACAGGGCCTCCTTGACGCTCGTGCTTTGAGCAAACACTCATTAATTCCCTCTTACTATCTCAAGAGCTACTTGATGGGTCACAAAGAGTGTAAATATTTTACAAGAAAATGCCACTAGCACAAATAGATACAACGTTTAATGTCTGCCCATTCTTCGAGATAGCCCAAATATTTTATTCCGATGTAGCCGTTAACTCAACGTTGTGTTTCACCCTGAGTGAGAACTGGCAACAGAAAAGGCGGGGAAAAAACTATGACCAAAGGAATCCCTATGATTTCTGAAACAACTGGGGATAGGTGCATCTACAATCAAGCCAACCTCGTATCTAATCCCATGTCCTATGTTCAGACATGTTTATGGACAAAACAGAGACAACTTTGAAAATTGATAGGACTGAGCTGATTTCAACGCTCGGGACGTGTATCAGACCGTAGTCTGCCGGATCTATCAAGTCTACATTGGAATAAAAGCCTCTCCGATCTAAGAAAACAGATGCTGGTGTTATTGCAGTAATTTAAGCGATACGTTCTCATGATAAGGACGCACATATGCTGAAGACCGAACCAGCATTCATTTTGAGGTTTACTGCATTTGGTCAGTTTGAAAAAATGTACAAATAAGACCAAAAAGATTTCGTTTGTCCAATTCAAATCAGATTTGATACCAAAGCGTATGAAACTATGTTTATGAGAATCAATATGTGTGTCCCATATTCTCCAATACCTTCAAACCCAGAATTTGAACCATATACTCAACAAACAAACACACACACACACACACACACACACACACACACACACACACACACACACACACACACACACACACACACACACACACAAAGTGAATAAACGATGTTGATTTGTATCTTTATATTTAGGGCAATTTAGACCTGCAGGAAAAACCCTTACGCGTTTCTGAAGCTTCACTTGCAATCCACAATAAAACCTTCTTGTATGGCACGAATAACTGAGACAGGCCATCGATACCTACATCTGTAGTGTTTATGACTATTGAGCCCTACATTCCGCAAGTCCTTGAAATCTGCTTTTTTTCTGTTACGTTGATCAATAAAAAGAATGATTGAACGCGAATCCTCATTCTGGGTCCACTGACCTTCCTTCACCATGCCAACGGCGAGGCATTTCTGAAAGCGACAGAACTGGCATCGGTTCCTCCTCCTCTTGTCCACCGGGCAGTTCTTGTCTGCTAGGCATACGTACTTAGCATTCTTCTGCACTGTGCGCTGCAAGGCAAACAGAGTCATTACAGTTTGAGGGACACAACGTGAACGTGGCTTATGATGGGCAACATTAAAGATGGTTCATGTCTTGCCGAGACAACTGTAACACCCGAGGGATCAGACATGGACCATCGTTGTATTGGTTTCCTGTGCGTAGGGGTTGGCCTGTGACGTATGCTTTACGTCAACCTGGAGTCCCGCAAGGTGCCTCACTGCCTCCGGATTTGTTGTAGCAAGTAATGAGGGACAATACCTCTTCTCTAAGGCTACATCAACAGTGTTTTGTCTTGCCTGTTTACAGTTAGTGGATGTTGACAGACTTATTTTGCAAAACCCACGCTCCTCTTTTCATGCAAACAAGTACTGCCCTAAACTGTGTGAAAAAGCTAAGTTTTATCAACATCATAACTTGTTTGTGAATATGAAAAGTGTGTACTAATCATAGTACAATGTATAGCAAATAGGCACTATGTTTTCAAACAGACCCTAACGTTTTCAGCAACCTGGATTCAAAAGGATATTGAAAGAGCGCTTCAAGCTTCTGCTGATTTCGCACACAGGCATCGACTAATTACGTTGTATCGGGATTGTCGCTGTGGCGAGCACAGTTATTATCCTGACAGGTAGGCGGTCGACAGTATGTCTTATCCCAATCTGAACAGTTACCTTGAAGAAACCCTTGCAGCCCTCGCACGTCCTAACGCCATAGTGCTGACACGCAGCGTTGTCCCCGCACACGGCACATAGTAGGCATTCCTTAGTCGGCTGGTCGCGGGGTGGGGACGACCTAGACGATCCTGGGGTAGGGGGGAGTAGTAGGGGACTGAAGCTGGTACTTCTGAACTTCTAGGCTGCAAGGAAAGCATTACCCTATACAAAAAATATTCATTCAATTCCGATTTTCTAACCAGAACGTTTAGATAATATATATTGCAGGAAAATAATAAGTTGGATATATTTCGAACTTAAAATCCACCAGGCATGATATCGCAGAGTGAATATATATATTATTAACCACAAACAAGTGCGCCAGCTTCACTATTGATTTCCATCATTTCCATACTTTCGCCTTATATAGACATGACTTGTTACAGAACTTAACACAATGGGGCTATTAAAATTATCCAAATGTACCAGTATTGAATTTAATATTTAATTAAGTATGGAACTTGTAGAGAATGCAATTGTTGTTTTGACATGATGAAGATTGCTGCAATGCAGCTTCCAGTACTGCCCATATTATTGTTTGTAAAGACACGTCTTGTGTTGGCGTTGATGATTAGAATGTGGCCTGAAGCAACATGGCTCTATGTCAAGGATGTCTTGTGAGACGCCTAACATTGCCTTGGGTGCTTCATTATCCTCTTAGTGCCCAGCAAAACAATAAGCTGCTAGATGATTCGTGCGGTCACAGTCCAGACCAATTCTTCCACAGTGTTTACGTGATGTCGACACGTGAGTTGGTGTGGGAGATATGAGTGACAAATAATTTTGATACCTTCGTGAGACTTAACACCTTATACGAGCTGATTTGTGTTTAGCAAAGATGTATATTTGAGAAAAGATGTCATAACTGATTGTTGACAAATTTGGGGTCATTTTGTTTTAGTGAATAGTCAAACAAATTATGTAGATCATTAGAAAATGATGGGATATTATATTAAAAGGAATATTGAGTCTAAATCGGTCGAGTAAAGCGGAACGCCTTTCCATATGTTTGGAAGAAATATCTAATACTGGCAGCGTACGGTTGTTGGAATAAATTGTTTACCCCAACCAGTGTTTGCCCATAACTCCGAAAAACTGCAGGCCCTGAGGACCCAGAACCATGACGCTGTGAGTCCTGATCAGAATGTGTAGACCCTATATTTTAATATGGAAATAATACTCTTAGTTATTGGGGATGAAAAAGCTGTCGGCTATAAGAACCTGCAGAAAACAAAAGCTATGGGCCCGAGTGGTCTTCAGTCGGCTTCGGGCCTAAGGACTGACGTTAATTTCGAACGCTGACCCCAACCTCTCAGTAAAATAGAACTGTATTGCTCCAACTTACCCATCAGATATTGGCGGAGTTGGTATGGTGAGGGAAGGACGTCGCTGAAGAAGCTGTCCACTCATTTGAATACTAATATCTCCCCTATAGGTATTAGGCACAGTACGGCTGGAAAAGGTGAAATTTGAGTTCGTTCTTGTCACCCCTTGGCTTCCATAGAATGGCGACGAGAATGCTGGATATGCTGGCGTTTCCGTACTATACGGACTAGTACCATCATAACCCGTATGATACAGGGCTTGTTTATGGTCCAGCTCAGAAAAGTTCATGTGCGACTGTGTGAAGATATCTGTGCTGTCAGTGTACGACTGTTTCATGAAGGGTTTCTGGTTTTCCAAGAACCTTTGCTGATAATATTCTGTGTCACTACCACCAAAAGCTTGGAAACCCTCTTCATATGGCACTGATGCGGTTCCATACTTTTCATGCGCTAATGACGAATGCTCAGAGTATAGACTGTAGGTCGACGGTTTGGTCGTATCTCTCTGTTGGAGCGCGAAGTTGCCTTCAAAGCTGTACGTGTTCGGGTAGGTGGAGGTTGACTGAGGCGTGTGGTCATCTGACTGGTACCCGACAAGACTAGACTGGCTCCCTTCAAATCCGGGTGCAAACGTCTCCGTAGATATGTCCTCATTTGCATACACCGGGTCCGATTGAAAATCATGAAGCGGTAGCGAGAACGAGGCTGAGAATACCCCTATATCCGCCATTGTTGTTGGGGGAGTAACACTTCCGGAATATGTCACCCCACCAAAATGGCTTCCTCCCATCCCAGGCGAGGAATCGTAGTTACTCTGAAATATAAATGAAAAAAATGCATCATTCAGACAACAGACGGGAATATATTTGACACTCGTGATATCTCGAGTTAAGAAGAGCAGCCTCTTACAATCCAAATCAATTCTGCGGTTTGTCGATTGAACAAATATAATTTTCCTTGCTTTTAATTTATTTACGTACAGCACAAACCGGTATTAAAAATACAGCTTCCTTTTCATCCGTTGAGAGATGTTTAAAACGTTAACGGGTAATCCTGAATTAAACCTGCTTGCTTAACGGTTTTAGATGACAGCCTGATCAATTGACTTAATAATGTCATATTCTAATCAAGTATGAGACCAACATAGGAACTAACAATTAAGTGATTGGAGTGATCAAATTGGGCGAATTGCAAATGACTTTTCAAATGCATAAAAAGATTCAATCATGAATCACTTTGCCGATATGAATACAAGTGTAAAACCAAATTCTAAAAGACATGCGGTATTCATTACCGCAACATCAGTCGCGGTTTTTCACTTGACAAATTATCAAGATGCCATCGGCGATAAACGATGATTGCGAATGTGGAGAATAATCGTTGAATAAGGAATAGTCCTTGGCGGACCCCTGCCATATGTTAAAGAATAGCAATGAACTGCTCAAAGCAGGGTATCGGTTGTAAAAGCGAGGTTAGAAATAGCCACAACCAACGGCACTTATGATTGGACAGGTATCCATGACATTTAGTCAATCTGTTCATACCAACCAATCAAAGGAGACGTGTTGTTCTGATGACAGCGATGCACGTGCGACACGTGCGTCACGCCATGTGTGGTGATTGGGGTCAACTCTGACACGAGCTGTATCAACATAATTTTAACTGGGCAAAAGTCCATTTTATAGGCAGAAGGAACTAAGCACTGTTAATCTGTTGGAACCCTCTCGTGTGTGACGTTTAGGTCCTATGAATAATAAAGTGGTCTCATTAAAACAGGAAACGAGAAACCGTCTTATAAACAGACTTCAGTGATTCACAGCTTATGATAGGCCATATTGCTACCGCAAATACAATAAACAGCAATTATCCGTTCACTAGATTACTTCGTCTATTTGGTTTCTGCGATAAAGACATATTGCAACTTACGCTCTCGAGTAATGAACACCCAAGGCACGTGACGAAAGTGCGCAATGAATGGACAATTGCCCGTGTATGAGACTATGAATAAGTAATGTTTATATCAAAAAAGAATGCCTTAATCAGATTTGCACCATTCGTAATTGTGTTCTCGTTATTCATTTTAAACAAATGTTAACAATTTTGGTTGACTCAGTTATATGATTCATAACATTCACTTTGCAAAATGAAAATACATGGTTATTTTTTCCGTCCAACGTGAATGTTATGCAGAAACAAGATATTTGCATTTATTAGATTCAGATTGATATACAGCGTTATGTTTTGATAAAATATATGTAATGTATGAATATTTCTGATTGTATATCAGCTACGTAATTGTCACTAAATTGAACAATTAAAAAATTTAAATGTGCCGAAAACGTGAGACAAACGAAACAGACCCGACAAAATCACTGATCAAACTGATCAACGATCTGATCTGCGAATGGACATGTGAAGCTTGTACGTCTGTACTTCAACCTAAATATGCACAGCCTACATGTGCGAGAGTAAACGACTTGCATGAATGTGACCCTTAAGTGTTATCAACCAAGTTCGATATATTCCTCTTCATTAAACCAAAATACAATTTTAAATAAAATCGGCCGACGCCGTTACCCTGTTGCCGTAGTAGATTACATGATTCTATTCAAGGCGACACAACAATAGCGATACTTAGTTGTGTCGACATTTCTCAAACTCGTTAAGTCAGCGTTGTATTCGGGTCAGGTTCAAACTATATGCTTCTGTTCTCATCTCTTTATTCTGTGTGTTATAGGGTACGGTACATGTACATAAAAGTACATCGGCAGATCGTATATGTACACATGTGTCCTTAGCTGATATTCAAATAGTAGCGTTATAGTGACTTAAAGATTTGTCAGTTTTTACATTGTACGTTCTTAAAGCTTATACGACTAGAACTATGTCACTAACAGATTTCAATTATATAACGCGTTTATGTGTACTACATCAGATTACAGATGACACGGTGTTAACGTCACTGACATCATGTTCAAATTATGATACGAACGTACACTCTGTGCGGGATGAAGAACATGTTCAGTGACGGATGTGAAGAAAGTGAGGAATGTGAAGAAAGTGAGGAACGTACCTGGGACTGTAGAAGAAGCATTGGCTTCTCAAGGCTTGCTGTGGTTGTCGTCCCGGGGGTAGAATCTCGGCCCGTCTGTGGGGACGGGAGTTGGTATGTGGCTGACACCGGGGTGGGTGGCGCTAAGGGTGGGGAGGTTCGGGGCACCTCCGTCGAGAGACCTGCAACATCAACGGCGACGAGTGAAGGAATGGAACTAGTATGTTTCTAAGACGATATTCCAAATCCAATATTATCGCCTCATGCTAATCAACCACTCGCCAGCGAAGTTTTAGATCAGGATGTGTATTACAACATGAGCCTACAAATATCAATATGCGTTGGGTAGCTGAAGAGAAAATGAGACGGTATCAGGGTTGTAATTTAGTAAATTTAGAAATTCAAATTTCAAACACCGAAAACAAACCACAAAAAGGAATATTTTGTAATCGAATTAAATGGAATAAATATAATAAAACAAACAAAAGTAAGGGATTCTAAAAGGTAGGGGGAAAATGTTCTCGAAAGAGATAAATTTGAAAACGTAACAAAATAGTAATAATATATCAGAATTGAAATTCGAATTTGAACGAGAGGCTTAATGTTTACCTGGTCCGAGACGGAAGTTTCAACAGAGAGTCAATGTAACTCGGAAGAGAACATAGCACAATGGTAGCTTATGACAAATGATAGTCCAGTGAGAGTTTCACCGAGAGCCGAGCCACCAAGTTAACCTGGGGCAAGCTTAAAACAACCCGCCTGACGGAAGATCTTGTGAGATTCACTACCACGGTGAACGGAGTTTCTCGTCTGAATGATTCCTCATTTATAAACCACGAGAACATTACAGGAGGCGCCTCACGCGCGGGTGGGCGGGTTATAGGCTACCCCAGCAAACCACGAATGGCATCGACGGGTGCCACATTAATGAGTGTCAACACTAAATATAAATCCGGGGTCAAGTTCAATTTTCAATTGTTCAATTGAATGAGCAGTTTAAACGACTGTCGGAAAATGATGATGGCGAAGTAGTCGCTCTAAAAACAAACTGCATGTTAATAGCGGAGAAGACTTGAGTACACGCAGAATAGAAATATGAATAATTAATATTTTTTAAAATATATACCAAAAACACCGCATTCTGCTAGTAGGGAAATAGTCATGGCCAATGTCCAAACAATATGTGAAAGAACCAACATGAAAAGTAAATATGCTGAAATAAGACGGGTTTTCGTAGATATTGTAGACAAGTAGATTTCCAAGTGATATACCAACTAAACAAGTGCGTGTAACATACCGTCAGCGAAGTGTATCCTTCAGGTTAGAACCTTACAGTGAACAAACAATAAAATTTCCTGGCTTTTAACGTTGTATTATACTAACGTAAGAAAATACAAACTGTAAAATACATCTGAAGAAGATGTGAAAAACATCAAGTTGATGACGTTTAACAATACAAAACATTAACACCAGGCGTGCGATTCACGCTTCTACATTGTCGAACAAAACAATTTTGTGTTTTTTGTTAAAATCGCACATACGTTCAGTGATAATTTAAAATTCAAAAGTCAGATTAATTACCTGATGAAATCAAATTTCAAATGTAATACCTAATAGGTTTTTGGTGTATTAAATAAAAGAACATTAATCTCGTGCAGAACTTACTTCTCATGCCATTTAAACGAAATTATAGTATTTCACCGTTACATAAATACAGCCTGAAACCACAATTCCTTTCAATATCAATTATCAATCATTACATTTAAAACAGCCACAGTACTTCGCGAAAATGAATTAAACTTTAATATACATGTAAGCTTCATAAGTAAACAGTAAGTCATGCCATTCGTTTATCAGTGAAAACAAACATTCACGCGGTCCGTCCCCATCACATGCCTGCAGCATATGCTTGTACTATCGGACAACATATTTTAGTCATCAATTGTCTTCAAATTCTACAAAATACTGCTTCAGCGTTTTAAAGTAGGTAGCCTTACCTTGATTTGCAGTTTGTGTCGGATTGTAGGATGAAAATGTTGATAACAAAGCCCTATATTTCATTTTGCAGCTAACTTGGTAAATAGTTTGCAAAACTCCTGACTGCTCTTATTATGTTTTCGACCAATCAGAAGGCCGGACGAAGCTTTGTTATTCACTGCAGTCGATATCGTCCTGGAGAAATTCGACACTATTACCTCTACTTCAATTTGTCAACGTTCCATATGGCGAGAAGCCCGGCGATGCAATGGACCATTCGGAGCTCGAAGTTTTACTTCGGTTTATGAAGTTTGTTATCAGTTTCAGCTCAAACGTATTGCTACCTCAGTCCGTGTATGTGTTAGTCGCGAAGTCGTAACAGTTAGCAGTCTCAGGCAACTTTCGAAACTTTGAATTCATTATAAATATTTATACATATTAGATTAAAATAAACGAATGGGATACACGTTTGCATTAATCTACTCTTCGTTCCTAAATATGTTGTACATCATTGTGTGGACACATTTTAAACTTTACTTTCGCTCATGCGTTTGCCTTTTAGCAGGCGCTGACAATGAGTATCTGATTCCAACAGAGCAACTGAATAAACATCACACCATGTTATAAAATAAGACATAATACAACATTATTTTATTCTGTTATGTATATTTATTTCAGATGCAACTTGCATCACAGATTTGAATCACTACTACGACAGAATACACATTTTCATGACAATCTAATCCAGCAGCCTTTGATAAAGAATTTATCAATGAAGTATTTACACAATCGGTTAAATAATATCAATTCATACAAACATTAATCGCGAATTTTAATTATATAAATGTGAAAAAATCATTTTTTTTCAAATGCGTGAAATGCTTTTGAAACATTATTCATGTACATGGGTTCGTTTTGAAAAAAGAACCACACTGTCAGATAGAAGTGACAGATAGGTTTGAAACTACCCAGCACGGCTTTGTAAAATGTTGTGTGCTGAATTTCATTTTGAAAGCCGGGATCCTACCTAATTTTCTAAATCGTTCAATTAGCATGCCCGTTAGCCATCGCCCGTATCTCAAAGCATAACGGTGGGCTTATCAGTTGCAAGTTTTATAGCTTGATGTATTGGTTAAGTCCCTATACACAGGATGACATTTCGCTGACTTCTCTTTACAAAGCGTTCAAACTACACACAAACTTTGTACTGCGACTGCACATGGGCCAATTTTCCTCGAGAAATGCCAAGGGTGAAAATAACATATGGAACGATGACAAATGTACCAGTTTACAATTAATTATTAACGATTTGATTGTCGAAAATTAGGCAGGATAATCGTTCTCGTCTCCCTAGTTGGAACTTCCAGTAGAGGGTCATTAGTCACCTAACTGGCTGAAACAAGCGCCCTCATTTCCGCTCTCGCTGTAGAGTTACCCGCCCTGAATGACCGAACATGTCAGTTGTGTCTACGCTGAGTATTCCTCCGCCAGTGAAATCTACGTTCGTGATCGGGGGGGAATTTTAAACAACAGGATAGTAATGATGGTAAATGATATTGGGCGAGTATATCCATCTGGGAACGCTCCAAACCTGACATGAAACTTGAGCATAAAGAGTCAACAAAGCCCTGAGGGGCACCGAGTGGAACTATGTTTTTTGCTCGTTGTTTTGAACTATCTACATATCAAGGTCTTACATTGTTTAATTTCTCGCCCTGATTTTATCACAAAGTTGTCATATTTTTGTGTGGTCGTTTCATGCCGGAAACAATTCAAACTGATGAACTGTTTTCAATAGGACCGTATTTACATTTCAGAATCACACAGATCTCGAATAGGAAGGGTGACTCGCTTTCAAAACTACAAAAACAAGCACGGATCCTGTAGATATGTAAATGTATACATACAATCATAGTTATTATCATAATCATAGTATCTGATAGTCGCTTTAGTTTAACCGTTTAGTGTCTGTGGCTTGGGCGTATGCACATCGTTATCAGTAAAGTCGACATACTTTGTTAACTATACATGTTTCTTCTGAATCTCGACATGATTCGTATATGTAGTTAGGCATGTAGTGTCATGATACTGATGCGAATAGAATAGAAAATATTATATCAATTTCAAGCATATCGCAGCAACAACAATTAATTTTCCTATTGCTTGAGATTATCGTGCATATTAGAAAAGGATGAAAAGGTTATACTTAAATATATCAAATCAAATGATTTGTGAAAATGATCTTGTATACGTTAATTTATTCAAGCGGTTGCCCTGTGCTTACGTCAATATTTTCAAACATTTACACCTTACATCTGATATTACAACCATTAAAGACACTAAGGTCTGGAGAATGGAACAGAGAACATATATTGCGCAAATGAATATGTTCACGAAAATGCTGTCTCAAGAAATCGGAATTTTCAGCAACAAATTTCTAATGGTTGCACACAAACATTGTCAATATGAAAAGAAAAACAGATAAATATCCTATAGCGTTCTATGAGATTGTTTGTTAGATTTCAAGACTTAGTTCATAAAAGCAGCCACCAGGTGGCGTAATACAAACCTCACAGTCACAAGTGTCGATTTCATCCTGGGAAAAACACGTACATTTCACTTGCCTGATTGCACGTGTAAAATGACATCATTCCATCTATTTGATAGCTCAACCGTATTCCAGAGCCTCCGGTGTCCCTTAGCTCTGTCATAATACTGCAGATTTTCATATTTGAATTAACAAAAAACATATTTTTCGTCTTTTTATGATTTCATCCAGTTGGTCAAGACAGCTGGGCAGATAACAAAGTATCCTCTATCCAGACGATTCACCATGGCAACACGATGAAAACAGCTTCATCTATTGTATTTCATAAATCCCAAACAGTTTTTTCTGAATGAACCGCTGTTAGCTTTAACGCTAGTAAATCCTAATCCAAGCCTTCATTAATAGTGCAAGCAGCTCTCCCGCTCTCGACAACTGTGCCGCTATATGTATAGTTCATGATATATATAAGCCTTCAAAATATCACCAACCATTTCATGACATTTTGTCACCTTTCAAAAGTCTGAGAATGCCAGCCGAAACCAAGGGAGACCTTCTCCTACAACAAGATATTCCATGGCAGAACCTGGAGTTCAAAATACCACCCTGACATTTGCGATCAGAAAGACACTACACCATGAATTCCAGGCCCATTCTTGACCATGGTGGGCTGTGTAGGTCCTGAAACCTTTCAATACTATTAACATTCTTGGGAAATCAGACAAACTCGCTCACTTCTGAATCTTTAATTGGAAAAATTGATAGGAAAATGTCAATGATAGAATATCAGTATACAGCGGATGGTAGTGGGGACGGTATGGTACTTCTTGTAACACACGACCTTTCCGATACAGCAAATGCCACTACAAAATGGCTATCGGCGACATTTGAGAGTCTGAATCATGCGTATTCAGGAATATATGCAGTACCAGTTCTTGTTGGCTTTCATTGTGTGAATATTCTACTTGTGATTCACATCAAAGACGTGTTTATGTTTAGTTTATGTTGTTTGGATGTCATAAATAAGTCCTAACATTTTACCTGCACCAGCCAAGGGTTCTCAGGTTTCACTGCGATTTGTTTATGTTTACTTGCCCGGATTTCGTTCGTGTTTGTTTATTAACAACCCCTTCCAACATTTCTTACATTGGATATAATTTGTATTAGTGACCGTATGTGACAATGTACGAAACAGGCCGTGAATCCGGAACTGGAAAGTGGGAATAAATTCAACCCAGGACGATGATGATTCTGTACTGGTGAGTGGATGGATTAAAATTTTACGGATGGATCTCTATTTAGTTCAACTGATAACTAATCAACTTTTATAATTTTTTAACACATACACATTTTATCAAAATGCATGGTGTGAAAAATTTCGAAAGTGGTTTAATTTGCTTTGAAATTTTATCGGTCATTTTCCTACACTGAATTGCACAATTACTTATATAAAAACACACAGGATTAATCGAAACACTTTGTGAAAAATCGAGGTGACATTTTTTAATTTCATTACATGAATGAAACATGGCTCGTTCTTTTTTATAAATATGCTTAAAAATACCCGTCATTTTCTGAAAATAACGTCACGTGTACCGGAACAATAAACATTTTAGAACCCTAAAATAAACAAGCATATTCGGGGTAGACAGCCGTGTGTCACAATGACCTTTCCTGCGGCGATGTCAATGTGAATCACACTTTCTAGATATTGTGTAAAAAAAGTATTTTAAATTTCGGTGGATGCAGACTACCCTGTGCGTGCAAGGAGGTCTGCACGTGCGGCGGGTGAGGCGATATTGTTTGGAAACCTTGCTTCATTTCTCCCATTCTGATAAACAGCTGTTCCCCAAAGCACGGCATGTCGGGGAACGATTGTTTACAAACTTATATTTATCGCGTAGGCGCGTAGGAACATTTTATTTTGAGATGCGTTCCGTCTTTAGGAACCACAATGTTCGCCCTAAAATGCTCATACATTTCACGCATTTAAATAATATAAAGTTCAAATAAAATTAAAACATGTAGTAAATTTCTGTAACAGATTGATACAAGTTTAAGCTAAAATTTAAAAGTAAAAAAATAATGTTTAGCAGAGACTTCTCATGGTTATTAATATGATCATGTCACTTTTACTTAACCTGTTATTTTTAGATCAATTTCAAACGTATGTAAAAAAAATATGGTTATTGTCTTGATATTGGAAGACCTAAAAGTTGGAGTGAGTATGACATTTTCTCAAGGGTGTAATTAAGACGATTGTTACTTTCTCACTGTCTGTTGTTGAAAAATAATAATTTCCTGGCAAGATGACCATGATTGACCGCCTCTCAAGAACGTTGTTGCCGGTGATTTGTTTATACGTGACAGTATTGCTATCAAGGTTCCCCTGAGGGAGGGTCCAAAATAATATCTAAAAATATTTTTCAAGTAGAATTTAACTTTATCTGAACCTTCGAGTTATTATAATAACTACTAAAACGGTATTATTTTCTACACATTTTGTTCCACGAATGACTCGTTAAAACCTTATAGCCATTCATATCGTGTAAATTATATATAGAAATACACTACACTATAACAATTTTCATCATTTAAAAGATGTTTTTCGAACATCAAAATATCTCGTTTTTTAAATCGTATGTATTTATTTATCAACCTAAACGAAATAACACTGTTAAATATATTCATGTATATTAATATAAATGTTTTCTAAAACATTAAATTGAAACTGACATACTTAGACGACAGATATTAGACATTTTCCTATCAAGCAATTTTAAGTATATATACCAGGGTATTTATAACGTTGGAACGCTGATTTCTTCTAGTGAGATGGCAGATCCAAGCCTCCTCTCGTATTACCAATATGGCGTCTCATTGATCCAGGAAAATCCAAAGTTTCTGTTGTGAATGGTGAACCTATCATTTATGCATTGTATTTCTTTAAGTCTCATATCCAACGAGTATTTGATAAAGGCATGGTATGACAGATGATATGAGAATGGGTATGCACGGTTTGTATATGGTTGAAATTTTGCTCATTCTTCTCCACTTCATAATTCCAGATTCGTTTTAATATCAATTTTGTATAAATATTCTTAAACATTTGCATCATAAATCTTTCTGCAAAATGATCATCTTAGGTTCATTTCATTTCATGTTAGTGTTTCAAGAGTTATTAAAAGTAATAATAATGCATAAATCGAAAACAAATAACATACGTGAAGTTCCAGAAGTATGAAGAATAATAAAGAGAATGAAACTTAAAAAAGAAAAGAAAATACACATTTATTTTTAAAATCAAAAAAAACCTTTTTCATGCAAGTCCATCTTACGACCACTACCACTGCTACGACAATTACTGATTTAATACGACACTGGGAATGCGCATTGACCTCTGCCATGAGAAATCTAATAGGGAAAGTTTCATTTCAAGAGAAACAATGAACCAGCATTGGAAGTCAACCAGAAACCGTCCTCATCTTACAAAGACATCGGTGATGAGGCGCCGTATCACTGCCGCCAGTTATATAGACATGCGGGTTGTCCGTTTGACGTTGATCTGAGAAATTGTTAATCTAAATGAAGCTTGTACCACAGAGGGCGTTGTTTACATAACGTCCATTTACTATTTCGGACAACAACAAATTCCTCATTAGCGAAGTCCCTGACTAATCTGACGTCTCTTAGACACAATGGATTTCTATATTCACTGCGGCGCAGTCCATTTGCATCCAGATCAGTTAAATTTAGAATCCTACTGACGTCATAATTACACGCTGAGCGCGAGACGGCATCAGAAATTCCGACGTCACGGCGAAGAATCGATCTCAGCGCAAGGACCTATGTAACTCTGCTTCCGTACTGGGGTTTTGACGTGCATGGTAGGTTAATCAATATGGCAATACGGAGGCCGAGTGACGACTTCAACAACAATAGGAAATCTATTCCCGCTTCCAGTGACGTCACTTTCAAACCTGTGACGTAAGCACAGGCCTTAAGTTAGACCCAGGGCCATATTTTTATCGCGCACCGCAGCACGGTGATGCTGCGCGTTGTGGGGAGACGGACGAGACGGTCGCATGTCTTGGACCAGCAACTTCAACCTAGGCACCGATGCCAGGATCTACTTACAACCAATGCTTCATCAACTAGTGATTGTTCAAGTGCAGAGGGGCAGTAACAAGCCGATATGAACGCCTAAGACAGAACACCCGGCTCCGTCTGCCAACCCAGCCCCTGAACAGGAATCCGAGAGGGTCTCTGATAAGTATTCGTATCTGCCTGGATGGTCAATTTACCAACGATGTATGTGTTTTTCAGAGCTGATGTCAACCGCGGCCGCTCGTTAGGGGCAGAAGGGTCCCGATAGGGGAACCTGCATTATATCCTAGGGAGATATACCCGGTCTTATCAAGCACTCATGGGAAGCGGTTGCCGATTCGGAGCAAACAAGGAAGAGGAACACGCCACAAACCTACTTCCGTTCTCATACATGTCGAGTTTGTGGCGCGTCACTGTTATCAGTTTCTTCCCTTGAAATTTGGCAGACAATGGCGTGAGATATATCAGAAGGTTGTTGTAAACCTTCACAAAGTTTCAACAGAGGTAATACTGAAGCTTGTAGTCACTTTTGAGCTTCTTTCATGAACGGATGAGGGTCAAGAGGAGAGACGATGTCCGGACTCTTTAACTTGCCACTTGTAATGCAGGTGGCGGACAGTGCTCGCCATTCCCAATGAGCCAACACTTACAGGCAACAAGACGTCTCCGCCCTCTCGGATCATGCGACGGATCTCCCACTGAATACAAACTGGGCAATGTGTGCCATCACCTTCGAAGTCCCGATAAGATGACCCTTACTCGTGTCGGTCAGGTCAAAGGACACCGAAACACGATGTCTTGTCTTGTCCCACCTTTCTCTGAGAACAATTGTCTACATTTGGGTGTTTGGTTTACAATTTCTCGCAGCGAATAGTCCTAAACGTCAAAGATAAGTGTCGATAATATTGATGCATAACACTTTAATCACAATTCCATACAATGAAACCCTGTTAGTCCGGTACCCGGTCTATCTGGAAGCGTTTTATTGGAAACATATATGTGTAAATGGACAAGGCATGAGAACATACCTAAGATTCGTTACCCTATACGATTTCATCGTGTACGTAGGTATTAACGAGTTCCACCGCCGTTTGGTCATATGCAGTATCATATATGAATTGATTAACCAATCAGGGAACTATTCGTTTAGTTAACGTCATATTAAGTAACTTTAAAGCAATAGTTTAGGGGCTCAGAAAAAAAGATGTTTTGGATGTATATTCCAGTGTGATTATGAGTGAGTGAGTTTGGTTTTACGCCGCTTTTAGCAATATTCCAGCAATATCACGGCGGCGGACACCAGAAATGGGCTTCACACATTTTACCCATGTTAGGAATCGAACCCGGGTCTTCGGCGTGACGAGCGATCGTTTTAACCACTAGGCTACCCCACCGCTCCTGTGTTATTATGACCTTCGGCGTATCAGGACTTTTCATAAAACTTTAATAACCGAGGCAACACCCGGTTTAACGTACTAATTACTATCAAGTTAATATAGTCATTTAATATAGTCGTGAATTAAATCATCACATACTGACGCTTAGTCACTGACATTTTCGTTAAGATGATGTGAACTTCGATGGCTTTCTCCATGGTCTATCAAGGAAAATAATTAGCATGTACAAACACTAACGTTTATCACATATTTATTTCATAAAACTGCAAACAACTAGAAACCTGTGAATTGTTACCTTCTAACACCTACGTATAACGCTTAACACTTAATGTTTCCGCCCTCTGACGTTGTGCAGAATTGACGCGCGGTGTTACGTTCGTAAGACGAGTGTGACGGACGCTGTGCGTAATGGAACCTGGTGTCCGTAGCAACGAAACACTTTTCTAAGGCGTTATGGAGTGTCGGCGATACCAAAACTCTCACCTGTCGCCGACATGAGAACTCAGGTAATTCTTACGCATATATTAAGTTCCTATTTGCATTACAGTCAACAACATACAGTTGATTATTCGTGCTAACGAACACGTGGCCTAATATGTTTTGGTAATTAAATTCTGTTTCAAGACTTATATACAATTTAAAACATTTTTGGATTTTGTAATTAAAAGGTTTGTGTATGCATACCTGGTCTCGTCGCCATATGGCTGAAATAATGCCGATGCGACGTAAAAATGTAAAGCACTCACTTTGAAAAAGTATCAAGCCGGATATCTGAAAACCAAAATTACTGAAGCCCAGTTACTCTTACTGAAAATCAAATTAGCATTTTTATATTAAACAAAACGAATTTCGTCCCAAACCTATATTGCCAATCCTTACTACAAAACAGAATCTAGGTGGCATTCATTTAACTCTGCTTCAGAAGCAAGGACGTCTTAATATCGTGCGCAACGTTAAGCTTAAGAGTATTGAGTTCTGTATGACGTGTAATTATTCAAAATACGACACAGCGGCTGCAGCAACGCACGTATCATTGATATACTGATACCCTCTCTCAAAGTGTCAAGACACGTTTCATATTCTTCACGTAATTAGTACGAGAAGCACGTCTTTAGTAAAGCAGTTTGAAGTTATACAACCGGCTTTGTGATCCGGTGTTGTTTGTACACCGTAAAAAAAAAGAGATTAATTTTCTCTCCGTTAGGTTATAGCAGTGTCGTGTCCATGAAAATCGGCTCACATAAAAATCACAGCAGAAAGATATCACCTCGTCTTTTACACACGGACTGAAAATAAAATACGATTCTAAATTTCGTGTCATCAACGAAATATCACTTTATCTCCATCACAGTAGATTTCAAAATAGATCTACGCTTGCCTCAAGGTTCGGTTTCTATGTCAAAGGAAGTTAGGTCATAATATGATGTACAATGAACATCAAACTCAACTTACAAGTGCAGTATTCATTCAATGAGTATACATGGCATTGAAAACGTGTAACACTGCAACTGAGAGTAGCGGGGTTCTCGGTTTAGACCATATGACACGGTAGCGATAAGAACGCTATGTACACAACGTATATGAATAGCCATGCCTCTGTTTGTTTCAATTACTTTTACGTATACTTAACTTAAAAATCTATCGGAAACTTTAACAAAGTAAAGTTTGTTTTGAAATTTAAAACGTGGTGTTTGCAGGGATTCACGTGGCAGGTTGTTTGAACAAGTATCACTGAAACGGGCGCATAGTTGCACATGGTCCACACAAGAAATGCATGGTCTCTTGACAAAAAACCTACTTGGTACAAAGTACAGTTGACCAAATTCAAGGCACTTGTCTCCAAATTATTCTTATTCTTGTTTCGCAGTAAACACGCTTTATGTGTCTTCTTAACGGGATGTAGCATGAAATTTGTAAATAATAACAGCTTTGATAGAAATATTAAAGCCCATCACTTTCTATTTATGTGCTCACACATAGATCATTTTTCGTCAGCCTATCAACTACACACCCTAAACTCCACTCCCCTACTCCAAAACCACAACCTCCCCTCTCCCCTTAACTCCAGCCCGTATTGGATGGCATGTCACTAATGATGGCACGGCTAACACTGCTATGAGACGCCAGGGGCAAACCCTTAGATATCTGAACTCGCACCGTCCATCTCCTCTGCATTTGAGTCTACCTCACCCCCAGCCATAATCCATTTTTCCACTGTGCGGGTGGTAATAATTGATGTCATTCTGTCTCATCTAATATTCTCTACCCCCTCCACCCAATTACACCACCCACTATGTCACTCTTAAGGCCATCCCTCATTAAAAACTGTGCCAGACTAAACGTCACCCTTAAATCCTACTCCCTCCCCCTATCACCTACTTTGCAGACTCCTCCCCACCCCCAAGTCACCCTAATTTCACCATACACAAACCCTTACCCTCACGATACCCACCCCTGACCATCTTACACATCACCCTAACCCCGGCCCTACCCACCCCCAAAACACCCTAGTTTCACCATACACAAACCCTTACCCTTACTACCCCCACCCCTGACCATCTTACACATCACCCTAACCCCGGCCCTACCCACCCCCAAAACACCCTAGTTTCACCATACACAAACCCTTACCCTTACTACCCCCACCCTGACAATCTTAGACATCACCCTAACCCCGACCCTCCCCACCCCAAGACACCCTAGTTTCACCATACACAAACGCCTACCCTCACTACACCCACACCTGACCATCTACCACATCACCCTAGCCACCCCCAAGTCACCCTAGTTTCACCAAACACAAACCCTTACCCTCACCCCTGACAATCTAACACATCACCCTAACCCCTACACATTGCCAAGTCCGGTTATCACTAACAACATCACCCCACCCCTCAGTCATCTTCACCCTCACCACACACATCCCCAACCCACAATCTCTGCATCAACCCATCCCCCATCTCGTCACAAAGGTAAGTGCAGGTAAGTACCACATCTCACCCAAAACCTGTCACCCCTCCCTAAATCCCCACCCCAACAAAAACTCACCAGTTTCGGAGTCTCCACCAAGTGCATGCTTAGTCCGTGGGCATATGTACATGAGGGGGGATGTCAGCCACAGTGAGGGGCCGAGGGAGACGTCCTCTGTCTCAACATACCTACATACTGTGAGGTAGCCGGATAGTCTTACTCGGCTATATTTGACAAGCTTCAGGTGCTCCTACCTAGCGAAAACGATTGATGTTTGCTCGCGGTTAATTAAACGCCGTCTTTCGACTCTTATGGAGCCATGTAGCTTGCTCGTTTAGACGATACCGTGGAAGCTCAGCGCAGCCTGCCGTCCCTCTGCTGTGTCGGTCATGAGCCGGGGTGAACTAAGGTCGCTGTCCACTGGAGGACACTACGGAGTCCGAACTTGGTCCATTTGGTTTATCTGGTCAGCAAAATGTTCCATATGTCATAAACAGGTAACACAGATGGACTGAAAGGTTTGGAAATCTTTAGAAAAACGTATTCACTGGCCAAATATCAAAACCTTCTGATAAAGGTCATATTTAAAGAAGGCTCTGACAGCTCTTGACCACAGGTCTGATGTGGAGCCATTAAATCGGCGAATTGATGCCAAAAGGTACACTGGTGGACGAATTATAACCAGTGCTATTCATAGGTGGGAAATTAAACACCAGCTGTACTCACGTTACTAAACACATAGAACACTCAATAATCCACACACCTCTGTATTTAGAACCGACATCCACAACAAAGAGCTTCCGATATGAACGAGTGATTGTCGCATATTAATCGCTAAGTTTCAAGCGGGTTCTCTGGCAATAGATTAGGGATGTAAAGACGTAGGATTTGGTTACGAATTATGGATCGTCCTTCAAGAAATGTTCGATTTTTGTGGCAGATCTTTTGCACGTGCGCACGTCCGCAGACGACACATGCAAACAAGGAGACGGTAGGTATACGTTACATGTGTTTGCCGTTTTGCAG